AATGCAATGGAGTCATCTGTCGAAGCATGTACCAAAAAGAGGACTACTAAGGTGACATGTCACGATGGTAGGGCAGGTATCTTGAGAGCTCCGATCTGTGTGCATACATTCAGACAAAGAAGGAAATCAAATCTGGGGGTGAGTTCAGGCAAGAGGAGACAGGCTGGGCATTTCAGTTCATTCTAATAAAAAGGCCCAGCACACTCCATTTCCTAAACATTTTTAATGTAATATTTCATACATATTAGAGCAGATATGATATATATATATATATATATATATATATATATAGACATTATAAATATATATAGTTTAAAGAAAAAGAGTAAGGCAAACATACCTCCACACTCTCACCAAACTTAACAGTAGTGCATTTATTGATGCTTTTGAAGCCCCTGTGGGTCCTCCATGATCACATCCACCCTTTTCCCTGATGGAAGTACCTACTCTGATTTTGGCTTCTCATTCATTTTTCTTTCTAGTTTTGCCACATATATATTCCTGAACACTATATTATTTAGTTTTGAATGTTTTATAAATGAATCAAACTGCCTTCATCCTTCTTTAACTTGTTCTTATAAATCAGCATTATGCCTGTGAGCATTTTAATTGTTGTATAGTATCCTATTGTGTGAATATACATAACTCTATTTATCTATTTTCTTGTTGTTGGACATTTAGGTGGTTTCCAGTTTTCGGCAGCTATTAACAGTAGTGCTACGGACATGCTTGTTCTTTCTCCTGGTGCACATGAACAAGAATTACTCTAAGATATATTATTTGGAATGGAATTGCCAGGTAATACATCATTAACTATGTTTTACTTAGTTCAAAGGGCTAGGGTTGCCAGATGTAGCAAATAACAATACAGGATGCTCAGTTACATTTGAATTTTACATAAACAACAAATAACTTTTTAGTATCAGTATGGCCCTTGCAAAATTTATATTTCATCTGGCAACCCTAAGAAGGTCAGTGAACTTTATCAAATCACAAACATTGGCCAATGAAGTGAAAGTGTGAGGGGGTGGGGGAGTATTTGGCCTTTTCTTCCTCTGCTAGCATGGCCAACAGAGTTGTTTTCAAGCAGATTAGCTCAGGGGGCTCAGGTGCTTGCTAACCAGCTCTGTGGGTAATTGATTGGCTCAACAAATATGTATCAGCACCAGCTGTATGCCAAGCAGGTGCTAGATGTTGGGGCTATAACTGTAAACATGACAGACAAGGTCCTTGCCCTCCCTAGGCTTTTAGCCAAGGCTGGGAAATGGAGGATAATAAGGCAATGATCTATGTACTGTGGGAGCAGTGGTGTGCTGGTAAGGAAGCCTTGATTTGTAGATTTTGCTGACTTTGGTGTTGTAAATACTCTTACCATGACCAGTTTCAAGCTACCAATGTGACATCATTGAACTCTGAGTTGAGGGAGAGACTTGTACAATCTGCTCTCTGGGTGGTATGAACTGGCTCCAGCAGCCCCCTGTATGGGGGAGTACTAAGAAAGGACATTTCATCCAGTCTCTGGGCTCATTTCTGACTGGTTTGGGGGAAAGGGACTTAAGCATTAATTGTTTCCTCAAATTTAGAAGGAATCAAATGTTAAGAGGTATAAAAAAATTTATTATATCTATAATATTGGATGCTTTGTAAATATTTTTTACTATAGTATATAAATAGAAAAGAGTCTAATAAACATAGTTGTAAATTATGACTAGCCTATAGATCAGGGCTTAGATCTCCCCCTTTTTTTTTTTTTTTTTTTTTGCGGTACGCGGGCCTCTCACTGTCGTGGCCTCTCCTGTTGTGGAGCACAGGCTCTGGATGCGCAGGCTCAGCGACCATGGCTCACGGGCCCAGCTGCTCCGCGGCATGTGGGATCTTCCCGGACCGGGGCACGAACCCTTGTCCCCTGCATCGGCAGGCGGACTCTCAACCACTGCGCCACCAGGGAAGCCCCAGGCCCTTTTTATGCTTAAATTACTTAAGAAATATTGATTCATTGTACAAAATTTGGCAAAGCAGAAAGTAGAAAAGAATAATTATGCAGTCTTACAGCCCAAAGCTAGCCATGCACTTTTTGGGGTTCAACCTTGCAGTCATTTGTTTTGCATACTTACAAACAAATTGGGATCATACCCATGTTTTCTCTTACAATATACATGAAAATTTTATCATCCTTTTCAGTATTCTTCAAAGACATGATTTTAAGTGATGGCATAACATTCCATTTTCAGGCTAAGCCACGGTTTATTTAAGTAGCTCCCTATTGCTGGCAGTAGCCTCTTTATAAGTCGGTGTTGACTATCTTTATAAGCTACAAGAAAGCAGGAATCAATCATTTAATTGTCTTTCCAAGGCAGCACTTGTAACAAAAATAAATCAAAAGTAATTGCATTATGTTATTTGCTGTGATCCTCTAGTTACCATTTAAAATAAAAGGAGTCAGTCTGCATAAAATGTAACCGGGGTTGGTGTAAAGGTAACCTGAGGCTCTGGGGAGGGTTGGGAGGAAGATAACCTACTATCAAATCTCTTTGGTTGGGTTTTGTTTACTACTCTCTAGAGGAGCTGAGCTCCATATAAAGTCTTGGAATTGGTAGGAGCTTTAGAGATCACCTAGTGACTCTAACCTATTTTTCATAGATGAGGAAATTGAATAGAGAAGGATTGTTACCTGCTGAGACTAGTACCCAGGCCTCTTGACTTCCTGTCCTGTGCTCTTTTCACCACAATCAGCTGACTAAGCTTACTCTTTTAAAATACTGAAAGAGCGTACAGTTGCCTATTACCTATCATATAGAAATTCTTGTTTTGCCTTAGGGTTAATGTGCTTTGGTATAAAAATCTAATGGTAAGGTTCTAGATATGTATCCAAGAGAAAGGAAGGCATATGTCCACACAAAGACTTGTACACAAATGTTCATACTAGCATTATTCATAATAGCCAAAAAGTGGAAACAATGCAACTGTCCATCAACAGGTGAATGGATAAACAAAGTGTGGTATAGTCACACAATGGAATACTCAGCAATAAAAAGAAATGAACTACTGATAAATGCAACAATGTAGATGAATCTCAAAATAATTATGTTGAGTAAAAGAAGCCAGACAAAAGTGTACAAACCGTACGATTCCATTTATCTAAAGTTCTGGAAAATGCAAGCTAATCTAAGTGACAGAAAGCATATCTTTGGTTACTTGGGAATGGGGGTGTAGCGGAAGAGGAACCACAAAGGGGTAGAGGAAATTTTGGAGGCTGATGGACATATTCACTATCTTGATTTTATAAATGGTTTCAGGGTTGTATACACATCAAAACTTATCAAGTTGTACAGTTTAAATATGTGTAGTTTATTATATCTCGCTAAAATTGTTTAGGGGACTTCCCTGGTGGTCCAGTGGGTAACGCTCCTGTGTTCCCAATGCAAAGGGCCCTGGCTTCCATCCCTGGTCAGGGAACTAGATCCTGCATGCATGCCACAACTAAGAGCCCCGTGCTGCAGTGAAGATCCCGCGTGCAGCAACTAAGACCCGGAGCAGCTTAAATAGATAATTTAAAAAAATAATAAAATTGTTTAATTTGTGAGATGTCCCTCTTAAGTTTGAAAAGAAGAACATTACTAAAAGCTCACTGAAGAATCTGAAGCATAAGAAAACTAAAATTACCTCGAGATAACTGACAACCAAGGTTCTATTCTAGTATGATAGTTTATCTGAACAAAACATTACTATGAGAAATGCAAAGTCATAAAAATAAGAAATAGAAATGACATTTTTGTCCTCCTGCATGCCATTTCCTCGTGCCAGTACAGTTGCTGTATATCATAATCTTTTTAGTGTTCTATTCAATTTGGTTTTTTAAAGAGAGCAATCGCCTTGTATTTTTCCTGAACTATTAGACAGCTCCTTTACGTACAAGATGCCCAATCCTTGATGTGTCTGCCCGTGTGTGGGTGTGTAGAAAGTTAGACTGTACCTATAAATTTCAGCAAATGCTGCAATTTGCTTTAGGATTTTGTAGTCAGGGCTCAGCAGCTGCCGTGGAACTTTCTAGAAACCATGCCCTCTTCTACAACATGAACCCTGGATAGTTTCCCTAAATATGTGAATTCGGTGATCAAAATTTTCTTAGATTTCCCACCTACTGTTTTAAAACAAAGAACTGCTAGACCACACATACAGTGCAGAACACCGGTAAAGATTTTCTTTTTTGGAAAACATTCATAAAGTTTTATTTCCATTCCCCCCCCCAACTTATTTTCTTAGCTCTTTTATTCGATAATAACTCCCATTCTGTAGGCGGGGAGAGGCACACCGTTTTTTTTGCACAGTACAGAGGGGCAAGAAAGACGCAACTCTCAACTTTTCAGTTCCATTTTGAAAAATGATCACATCGAACTCCTGAGAAACGACAGCCCAGCGAGAGCAGAAGCATTTCTCTCCATGCTGGGTGTGGGTCGGAAGCCAGGCGCGCTTCCGCGAGAGAGAGAGGGGGAGTCAGGTGGCAGCGGATCGGGCGCGGGAGCTAGTGCTGCGCGGTGGGGGCGCGTGCGGGGTGCGCCTCCCTCCGGCCGGCTCGGGGAGGCCACCCCCGCGCACGCCAGTCGGTCGGCCGGGCTCCCGCGCAGCGCTGCTATCCGCTGGTGAGCCAGCAGCGCCCGGCGCCCGCGTCTCCTCCCTCGCGCGCTCGCTCCCTCTCCAGCCCCCCCGCCCCCGCCCCCCCCCATCCAGTGCAAAAATCAGGGCATCAACAAAACGACCCAGCCCACCGCATGCCAGCCCTGCTTCTGCAGCAGCTTTATGAGGGGGATGGTTCTCTTGCCTTATGCCTGGAGAGGCTGAGAGTTGACCGGCTGGCCCCCTATCTGTGCTGTTATCAATGGCTCCTCCTCTGCCCTCCCCGCTGTCTGAAGGTGTAGGTGGATGGACTTCACAGAAGAGTGTGAATCCCCCCCGACGGCCCATGGGGAACACCTGCCCGCATTCCCACCCTGCCTTGCAGGGCTGGCCGCCCGCTCTCCGACCCCGGCCCCAGCGGGCGCCCCCTCGACACCTCCGCCGCCAAGCTCCTTCCCTCTGCCTCCTCCCCGGCGCGCCCGCCGGCTCCCTCACTTCTCCCCCTTTTCCTCCTCCCCGTCCCCTCTCCTCCCCTCACCTCTACCCTCCTCACCTCCCCCCTTCTCGGTTTCCTCCCCCATCCCCTTGAATCTCCCCTCCCTGCCCTCGCTCTCTCGCTCGCCCTCAGCGCGGCCCCCGCCATGACGGAGGCGGGTGCCGGTGCTGTTGCCGTTGCCGCCGCTGCCGTCGCAGGGGGGGAGTCGGGTTCCCAGAAAGTAGCTTGATGAGTGTCCAAAGTAGCAGTGGAAGTTTGGAGGGGCCGCCATCTTGGTCCCAGCTCTCCACGTCTCCAACCCCGGGCTCGGCGACGGCGGCCAGGTCCCTGCTGAATCACACGCCGCCATCCGGGAGGCCCAGGGAAGGTAAGCGCCGTCGCGCCCGCGCCCGCTCGCGGGTCTCCCCTCCTGCGCCGCGGTCCCCGCGACCCCGCGTCTCCTTCCTCCGACCCCGGGGTGGGGGAGGGGGCGAGGTGGACTCGAGGCCTCCCGGCTCCGGGGAGGTAGTGCTCCGTGTGTGGGTGGTGGTTCGCGGGTGGCTGAGAAGACCGACGAGGGGGTGCGCGCTGGAGGGGCCGGAGCGAGGCGCGGCGCACAGACTCGCCTGGGCTTCTTAAGAGCCAGTCCTGCTGGGATGGGAAGCCTGACCCCGGACGCGAGCCCCTTTCTGCTCCATTTGCTAGTACACTCAGTACTCTTAACCTCCTGGCCTCGGGTCTCTGGTGGATTTTCCCTCTTGGTGAAGCATTCATCCTCGAGCCCCCTCCCCTTCCCTCGCGCACTCCTCCCCTAGAGGCGGTCCCCGCTCTGCGAGCTTTGCTGCCCAGGACCTGGAGGATGCCTCTCGTTTGCAGGGTCTCTGCCCTTTGGGGGGAGCCTCTGAAATTATCAAAGCCGACTTTGATCCCTTGCCTGGCCCCCTAGAGCAGTTTAAACGACAGACTGATTCGTGGGCAGGCTTTTAAAACCATCCCTCCAGATGGTTGCAACTTTGCTTCGCCATCATCTCCTGCGTGTTTGTGCGTTCTCTCTCTACTGCAAGTAGGCTACTGTTCTTTGACAGGGTCGTGGGTTTTGTGGGAAATATCTGCGTAAAGGTTACTGCAAACACGCACCAGATCGGTTACAATTGTTTTCTAAGTTTTCTGGCTTCTTGCATGCAAGTGTGCTGCCACCAGATGTAGCAGTTACACAGCTAGTAAGACATCGGAGTGCTTTTGACTAAAATTTCAACTTGCTGTATTTAACTTTAAGTATACGACATAAAATGAAATTTGGGAGAATTATGGGGGAAGAATAAATGTGCGTAGAATCACGTTTAACGCTCTTTTGTCTGGAAAACGTTTAGCGGTATTCATCAGCAATTGGTAAATGGGTTGTTCACCGCCGGTTGTGTCACACAGGGAGATTGTAGCCACATTTTCAGAAAAAACGTCTGGAAGTCCAGTAGTCTAGTGAATCCTTTAAAGATACCAGGAGCTTTGATTTATTGCAGGAGTCGGTGGGATTAATTTATCTTGAAAATATCTGTCAATATTTACGACTCAGAGCCTTGACATTTGTTAGTCAAGTGGTTTGTGCCCTGAATCCAGTGGTTCAGGCACAGCATTCTTTGTCATTTTGTTCCTGTGAGCATGTGTGAAAGTGACAATAGGCTCAAAGATTGGTATGAATTTGCTCTGGAAAATTCAGGGGAAGGTTTGATTTATGGCATCCATTAAGCATGCTGAATACATTGATATGACATTTCCCCTTTCCATCTCAACCCCAACCCTGAGTTCTGATTATTAGAAGATAAAAGTTTATTTATTGACTCACTCAAATTTAGTACACCTGGAGATTTTTCTTTTTGCATTTGAAAATTTGTAAATGAATGTTTTAAAATCTATTTTGTAAACAGCAGTTGGTGCTTTTAGCATGCTTTTACTTTTGTGTATACTTTCATTAAGATGCTTAATGATAGTGTTAGGAATGATAGTTTAATGAGTGATAGTAAAAGATGGTCTTGGGAAAGACTCTTTTAAGGCTATACCTTTTTTTCATTAATTTCTTAAATATTTGCTGAGCCATTTCTGTGAGCTAAGCACTGTGCTAGATACTGAGGGCATAGTATGGGCATAGTGTTGAATTGTTCATCTGTAACATCTGTAATTAATAATTTGGGGGCTGAAAAATCTAGATTGTGAGTTTCTGAGGTTACTTCAACTCTAGTTAAAAAACTTTCATACTATTCTGCAATTTTCCTGATGTTTAAAATTTTTCAGGGGTTGGAATAATTTAGCTTGACCCTCCAAATAACCAGAAATTTTGTCCAACAGTTTGGATTTTTATGTAACCTGAGTAGTGAGTGTCTATTTACTAATGAAATAACAGGACATGCTTTTGTGGAAGTTATACTTCACACCCAAGTACCTGTATGGTGACAGTGGTACATTGCTTTTTTTTGACCAACCAGGAAGTAAGTTAAAACTTAATTCTCTCTAGGATTATATATATTAATCTTGAAGCTATAATTTCAGATTTCACAAACGCTAATAGGAATTGCATATATGAAGCCCTAGGTATCAAGATGGAAACATTTTCTTTTGAGTGTGATCCCAGTTTTTATTTTAACAAGTGCTTTGCATCTTTTCCAAGTAACATTAGTATGTTGTGTAAAGTGATGTAAATTGAGAGCTTTGATTGCTGGTGACTGATAGTAAGAACCATTACTATTATTGGAACTTGAGTATATGTATCAAGGAGAGAATAAACTTTGTTTCTTTCTTCTTTTTTTTTTTTTTTTTTTGGTACGCGGGTCTCTCACTGCTGAGGCCTCTCCTGTCGCGGAGCACAGGCTCCGGACGCGCAGGCTCGGCGGCTATGGCTCACGGGCCCAGCTGCTCCGCGGCATGTGGGATCCTCCCGGACCGGGGCACGAACCTGTGTCCCCTGCATCGGCAGGCGGACCCTCAACCACTGCGCCACCAGGGAAGCCCTAGACTTTGTTTCTTGAAAAATGGAGCCAATTAAATGTAATATATGATAGAAATTTTTAAACTTAAAAGAGATACACACATATGTATATGTACATATATAAAGTTACATATGTTAAGAACTCCTTTTAAGCATACTTTACTTTGAAAATGGGCTATTTTCAAAGTTGTTCCATAAGTATCTTATCTATAAGCCTAACTCATAAGATTTAGGAATTTATATGATATAGTATAGACTTCTTTCTTCCCTCGGAGTGCCAAAGCTTTTCCTTTATCAATCTTAAAATTCTCTGAGAGGTGCTCAGCAGTGTAGCTCTAGATTTCACATTGGGTCTTTTAAACCTGTTGCTAAATTCTCTATCCCACTTTATCTTCTAATCTGTGAATAAGGATGTGGGAAGTTAAGAAATTAAATTTTCAAATAAGGTCAGGTTTGTTTGCCGAGGCCAAGGAACCTGGTGTACTGGCTAGATGAGCAGGTGGTTTTTTTGCATATCAATACATAGGTACTTTTGAATGGGTTACTGCTAAGAGTCAAATAAATGGTTATACAAAAGACTTGGCTTTTCTGTTTCATCTTGCCAGATATGAATAATTTGCTTTACTTTTATGTAAATAACGAAAGTAGTTTGGTCAAAAAGATAATATCGCAGTTTAAATAAACTTGCTCTCTGTTTCCATATTTACAGACTGCATCCTTTAGACAGAAGAGTTAAAGTATTTGACTCCAGATGATTGAGTAATACCTGTAGGGAGATGTTAACAGTTAAGTGTACCAGATGGCCCTTTAATTTCTTGAAGTCACCTGCTGGAGCAAGACAGGGTTGTATGTTTAAGGATTCTAGCTCATGAATATATAGATATGTGGTAGGGGCCTCCCTTACAGAGGCATATGTACATATTAGAGGAGAGAGGGAAATCCAAGATAGTTAGAAGTCTGGGAATCTGCCCCTGAGAACTAGGCTGTGCTTTAGCCTTTTTTGTCTCAGGACCCCTTTACTACCTTAAAAATTATTGAGGAAGAGATTTTGTTTATGTGGGTTATGTCTATTGATATTTACTATATTTGAAATGAAATAACTTCAAAAATATTTATCTAAAAATAACAATCTGATTACATGTTAACAAATTTTAAAATGAAGATAAATAGTCTAAAACAACAACTTTAGTGAGGGGACTTCCCTGGTAGCACAGTGGTTAAGAATCCGCCTGCCAATTCAGGGGACACCGGTTTGATCCCTGATCCGGGAAGATCCCACATACTGCAGAGCAACTAAGCCCGTGCGCCACAACTACTGAGCCTGCACTCAATGAGAGCCTGCATTGAACCTGCACTCAATGATAAGCCCACGCACTGCAACTAGAGAAAGCCCGCGCACAGCAGCGAAGACCCAATGCAGCCAAAAATTAAAACAAAAACATGCTTCAGTGAGGCTGGTGGCATTGTTTTATATTTTTACAAATCACTTTAATTTCTGGCTTACTAGAAGACAGCTGGATTTTCTTCTTTCAGTCTGTTGAGATATATTTTGATTGAGGCATGTGAAGAGAATCCAACTTCACGTAGATATGTAGTTGCAAAAGAATTAATTTTTTTTTTTGCGGTACGCTGGCCTCTCACTGTTGTGGCCTCTCCCGTTGCGGAGCACTGCTGGCTCCGGACGCGTAGGCTTAGCTGCCATGGCTCACAGGCCTAGCCGCTCCGCGGCATGTGGGATCTTCCTGGACCGGGGCACGAACCTGTGTCCCCTGCATCGGCAGGCAGACTCTCGACCACTGCGCCACCAGGGAAGCCCAAAAGAATTGTTTTAATAGTCTTTTTGGAAGTTATTCTTTGATATTACACCAAAATTCGACAAGTGGCAGTTTTTTTAAAGGTACTTGTGATGTGGAAGTACATTTTATCCCGGAAGTGTCTTCAGGACCCACAAGAAATCTGTGGACCATACATTTAGACTAAAGAAGACACTAAAGGGTGGGAAAAAGTATAGCTGTTTTCAGGCATTTCAAACACATAAATTGAAGAGAGAATGTGTTCATTATGCTGTTATAGAAGATGGACCAGCAGGTGAAAGTTAGGAAGGCACAGAATGAATTCAGTATAATTTTTTGACAAGAATGTAAAAAGTGTAAAACTACTAGACTTGGCCAGCAATGAAATAACTGCTTTAAAGAATTTAAAGCAAACTACGGAGACTTTTTTGGGGGAGCTAGCGATAAATTCTGTAGATTCTTATTTTGTGTGCTATTAGATTAAGTGACTTAAGGTCCCATCCAGTTAAAAATTGCAAACATTCTGTGATTCTTTGAAAATTCGTAAATATACTTAAACTGTACTTACATATCCATGAATGTTTTTGAATATTCTCTAAGTCAGTAGCATGAAACTAT